CCCCCAAGCTGTACATGAAACAAAAATCTTGGTGTCCGCCCTGAAAATAAATATCTTTTGCTTAAAAAAAAAAAAAAAGAAAGAAAGAAAGAAAGAAAGACACAAACCCAAACCCCAAAGCCAAACAGCAAGTCTGTTATTTGGGAGTTTAATGAGCCTGTATGAAGTCTCTGCTGGGGTTGGAAACCATGAGGCTCCAGGCAAGAAGACTGGGGGCTTCATTTTCCACTCTGAAAATGCCAAGGGGTCAGGTTCTGTGGGAACAGTGGGGGGGTGACCTGGGGTCCCCTCCTCCTTGTTCCCCTCCGTCCCTGCCCCAGCCCTGAGCGCCTTGCTGCCCTGGAAGGACTTCCTTCCTCATTATTTCAGTCAGAAAAGACACCTCTCGGACTGCCCCGTAAGGGCGGAGGGCTACACTGTCTCCTCCCACAAGGGTCCTGTGGGTGGGCGTTGTGCTCGCCTGATAGACAGGGACGCCGAGGCTCAGCAGGGTCACAGTGGCAAAGCCCTTGGTCAACACGCAGTAGTCAGGATCCAACCCAAGTTGAACTTCACATACACGGCCTTTCCAGGCCCCGTGGTCCCAGCTGGCCTGGGGCATCTCTCCTGGGTCTTCCACTGTCCAGGTCACCTGGCTCCCTCTACCCTGAGGAACCTGAGTTCTGAGGTGGGAAACAGAACGGAAAGTCGAGAAGAGGCCGATGAGGTGCCAGTGTGGTGGTCACCGCAGGCGGCGGCTGTTATGCCCTTGGCCCCCATTTAAAAAATAGTCAGGACTTCAAACATGGACTCCCAAGGAAAACAAACAGTCCCTCGTCCGTCTGCCCGCGCACCAGCGGTGGTGGGTAAAATTATCCTGGCAGTGACTACACAGTCATGAGGCCGGCCCCACTGTTTGCCCAGGCGGTGGTGGCCAGTCCCAGCTGGGCTGCCCCAAAGGCCTCTGGCTGGGGCCTTGCTGCACGCATGCTGCCTCGCACTGGGGGGACAGGAGGCCTTGTCCTAGGCGTCACCTATGCCACAGCAGGGCCATGGTGCTGGGATCGGATAGTCCCTGCGTTCGAGTCCTGGATCTGCCACCTACTAGCTATGTGGCCTTGGGAGAAAGAAATCACATTCTGTCGGACAGACTCCTGGTCTTAGCAGAGACTCAATCCCGGGCTCACAGAGCTGGGAAGGTCTCCTTCCCTCAGCAGTGCTGCCTTCTTGGGAAGAAGCCGGGGAGGGGAGGCTGGGGCTCCAAGAGGACCCAAGCTCTGCTCATTGGAGAAGTCTCCGGCCCTTTAACTCTGCCCTGTGACCCATCCATTCTGAGGGACTCCAGGAGTCCTCTGTTCCAGCGGCTGCCACTAGGCTTTCTTGAAATTCTGGACTGCTCATGGCTCCTGTCCCTTCAGGTGATCATGGGGGGTGGCCGGAAGTACATGTACCCTAAGAACAGAACCGACGTGGAGTACGAGATGGATGAGAAGTCCAAGGGCACAAGGCTGGACGGCCTGAACCTAATCGACATCTGGAAGAGTTTCAAACCAAGACACAAGGTGCCGGGGAGAGAGGGGAGGTGGCTATGGAGGTGGCCTGTGGGAGCCAGGGTGGACCCTCTGCATCTCGACTTTCTCCTCTGTGAAATGGGGACCGTGATTCCTCCCTCCAGGACGACAATGAGCTCTAGTGATTGGCACATAGTAGGTGACCAGCAAATGTCTCCCTGCAGAGTGGGACAGAAGAGGGCAGACAGCGGGGAGGAAGGGACCCCCGAGGGATATTCAGGCAGCACAAGGGGTGAATCAGCTGGTAACAGGGAATTTCGTGCTACCGTGGTGGGAAGGCTGGGACCTGCAGGCACCCAGAGGGGACAGGCCACCAGGGAGGGGTCTGGAAGTCCTGAGCAAGTGGGAGGAGGGGCAGAGGAGACAGGGCTGGACAGAGGCAGGAGGCAGGACTAGCCCTGGAGGGTGTGGGCCAAGGAGTAAGATGAGATGTCCTCAGTGGTGCTGACCCTCAGCCAACCAGGGAGGCCCCTGGAGGACCGAGGCTTTGCTCCTCGGAGAAGCCTCTGGCCCTTTAACTCTGTCCCGTGGCCCAGCCTGGGCCAGCTGGGGTCTGGAAATGACTGTGGTCAGGACTGAAGACAGTGGGGAGCAGGCTGGCCGCCACTTTGATGACACTGTGGGGTTGGGTTTCTCAGGGTTCCCGGACAGCCCCTAGGGAGGCTTCGTGGGATGAGACTGGGCCAAGGGTGGGTGGTGGCAGGGCTAGAGTGGCCCCTGGGGCGGGAAGGCGTGGCACTGGGCGTCTTCGAACCCTTCCCTTTCAAGCCAAAGACCCTTCCCCTCACGGCTTTTCCGTGGAGCATGGGACCAGGGCTTCATCCTTGCCCTGGACCCAGAGCCCACACCAAATCCCGCTGCAGCCCCACTTCTTAACCTCCATGCCCTCCTCCTCCCACAACGGCCCCAAGGTTTGAAAACCACAAGGGGCTGTCTTGGGGACACACAGCCAAAGCCTGGCAGTGCTGGCACCCCAGCCAAGGTGGCATCTCCTGTATCACCCTACAGGGTGGGGTCCTCACTCCTCAGACGCTTAGCTCATTCCCTTCAGGGGACACTGGGGCCCCTGTACCTGTCTCTGCCCTGTGAGTCCGCTGGGTAGGAAGCTCTTCCCTGACTTCAGGCTGAGCAACTCCTACTTATCCCCCACGTCCCCGGTAAGAAGTCACCTCCATCAGGAAACCTCCCTGATCTGACTTCTTAGCTCAGGGTCCCCTGGTTTCTCAGAACCCTCCTCCGCCTTTGTTACCACTGTAATTGCCTTTTGACTTATTCTTGAGGTCAGGGATGGTCGGTCCCGGGGGAGGCATAGGGATATCACAGGATGGAAAGGAACCATGACCTGAACCCTGAGACCAGCTGCGGCTGTGCATCCCCAGCACTGCTGACCTGAGCCCTTCCTCCTAGCACTCCCACTTCGTCTGGAATCGCACGGAGCTCCTGGCCCTCAACCTTCACACCGTGGACTACCTCTTGGGTAACTCTGCCTTCAGTTTCTAGACCTAGAACCCTGGGAAGGGGTCCAGTTCTCAGAATTAGGCCTGAAATCTGCTGGCTGTGCAGGGCTTAACCCCTTGGGCACTAGGGGAGGCAGTCGCTGCAAAGAGTGCAGCCCCTGCCATGCAGTGCTGCAAGGCATTGGACAGTGAGGGCAATATGGGCCGGGAAGCTAAATGCCCACTGGGACCATGGGGCTGGGGACCCAGGCAGGAGCCTCAGGCCTGGACTCAGCCCTGCTGCGTGCCAGGGTGAGCACCAGTGGCGTTGCCTCTGCCAGGCCTGATTTGTTGCTCTCCTACCAGGGAACGGGGAGCAGGCAAGGAGGGGTCCAGGGCAGCTCCGGGCTCCGGTGGACATCAAGGCCAGCCCTGGTCAGTGTGGGAGGGGACTGCACCAAGGCTGGGTGCCTGGAGGCAAGAGTCTCAGGTGCCATCCCAAGGCTGCCTTATACCTGGGCTCTCAGAGCGCTCTGCTGGTGGGAGCTCTTGTTCAGCTGTGCACACTTACAGTCGTGGTGCCCATGTAGAACCTGGTGACATGGACGAAGAATAAATCATTCTCCTCACACCACAAGCTCTGTGAAGACTAGGGACAACGGCCTCGAGCTTTCTGCTCCTTCACTGCACAGACCACAGTGCCCTCCAAGCCTCACTTGCAACTCTGCACATGCTCGGGTCGCCCCTGGAGTCCGGGCCACAGTCCTCTGCCTCAGAGCCTCAGTGCTGTGTCCTGTGCCCCTTGTGCTGAGGTAGATTGGTGGATTCGACTCAGATCTGCCACCGCTTGTCTAGAAATGGCAAGAGGTTGCCACCTCCTGGCCTCAGTCTCCACCCCCTTGACCTAGTGGTGGCTGTGAAGATGACAGGAACTGTGGGCATAATTTGGGCCCACAAAAGCCACCTGGATATGGTTCCTCCTCCACCACACTACCCCCCAGTTAGGTGAAGGAAGCCTGTTTTCTTAGACATCCCAGGTCCCTTGGGGTCCTCCTGGAAGGCTCAGGGCTCAGCACCCTGTCCCTCTTGTGTCCCTCCAGGTTTGTTTGAGCCCGGGGACATGCAGTATGAGCTGAACAGGAACAACGAGACTGACCCATCGCTCTCCGAGATGGTGGAGGTGGCCATCAAGATTCTGCAGAAGAACCCGAAAGGATTCTTCTTGCTGGTGGAAGGTAGGGGAGCCAGACCTGCTGAGGAAAAGCTGCTGAAAACTCAGACTTGAGGTCAGGGGATGGGGTGGCTCAGCTGAGAGGACGCTGTGGAAACTTTCAGTCCCCTCACTGTTCTCCTGTGGGCGTGGAGAGGGTGAGTCAGGTCGGTCCAGGAAGGCCCTCAGCCCCTCAGTTTCACTCCTCTGGAGGTCAATCCTGTCGGGCCTTGGCTTCCTACACTGCCCTTCCACATGGCTCCCGGTGCTGTCCCTGTCCCTGCCGGTGGCCAAGGAGTGAGAACTTGTCCTGGTGCTGCCACCCACTGGCTGTGTGACCTTGGCCTGTACATTTCTGTAAATAGAGACCCAAAAGAGTTCCCTCCTCTGACGGAGTGACTGTCCTCCACAGAGCTCAGAGACATCAAGTACTTGCAACAGGACCCAGCAAGGAAGAACCCCCACGATTTCTATTATTACCATTGTTTTGACTACACAGTGGCCAAGACAGCAGCAGTGGGAAGTTCAAAGTGATAACGTTGTAACTGCCCTGGCCTTCTGTGGTCCCTCGGGTTGTCCTGCTGAGGCCTGAGTGGACACACGCCCACGCAGACAAGCGGACTTGTTTGCACAAATACTTACCACATGTACACGTGCACCCAGGCCCCCCACCGTCCCAAAGCCAGTGGCTGCCGGCCCAGCTCGGCTGCTGTCTGTCTCTTGCCAAACCCCAGGGTTCCCACAAGTCCAGCGGTCTCGGCCTGGCTCTGGACAGGCCTCTGAGGCCAAGGAACCCGCCAGGAACCAGCGGTGGCAGCATGGGTTCCCCCAGGAGTGGTCCTCTCCCTGAGCGGGGCCAGGCCACCCCGCCAGGCCAGCTGCTACCAAGCCACAACAAAGGGAGTGCCCGCCCCGCCAGCCTGCCTGACTGCTGTGAAGCTGAGGCTGGAGGGCGTGAGGACAGCCTAGTGCCCAGACTCAGGACCCTCAGAGTCTGGAGTGTCTGCCCATGCAGAGCCCCATGGGTAGGTGGGGGAGGGGAGAGTCGTCCCTCAGGCCACACAGTCCTTGGTCACTAGGCCAAGCATGTAGCCAGCCCCTGTGTGCACCTGAAGGAGGTGGCACAGGATTCAGGCTTAGAAAAGACCACCATGGCACTGCCAGGCCCTGAGGATTTCCACTGCCCTTTGGGAGTGGGAGGCTCCATGCTTTTAGCTTAAAGGGGATATATTCAAAATTGGGACTGAAAAAATGGGCTTCTAGGCTCTTCTTCTTCTTCTTCCTCTTCCTCCTCCCTTTCCCTCCCCCTTCCCCCCCATACTGGGGATCAAACCCAGGGCCTTCCCACTGAGCTACATTCCCAGCCCTTTTTATTTTTTATTTTGAAATAGAGTCTTGTTGAATTGCCCAGATTTGGATCTAACTTGCTATCCTTCCGCCTCAGCCTCCCAGAGCGCTAGGATTACAGGCGTGTGCCGCCACACCTGGCTGAGAAAGGGGCTGAACTCAATGCCCTGCAGATCTCACCAGCAGCGGATCACATCACTCCCCAGCTCTAGGCCTTAGCTTCTCCATCTGTGAATGGGGCTGCCCAGGACTGCTGTGAAGAGAAAACTAGACCTCAGTTTGCTATGCCTGGCACATGGTAGGGACTCAGCGTGCTCCCCTCCTCCGCCTCCTTGATGACTTCAGGCCTCAGAAGACACTGCTGGGGGCAGAGGGGGCAACTGGAAGCTCATAGCCCTTCCTTCTGGTGGTTCTGCCTTTAGTCCAGGTTTTGCATCCTCCACACAGGGGCCTTAGTCCTGTGACCCCCTTTCTGGCCTCTCTAGAGGTTCAGTGGTGACATGAGATGCCTAAGGTGTGCCTGGCACATGTATTTCCTGCTGAAATTGCTGCTCTTCCCCGGCAAGGAAATGGTAGTCCGGTGATGGCGTCATAGGGAATGGGGGCACAGCTCTTCCCCTTCCCCCTCACTCAAGACCTCTGTCTTGATGTCCCAAGGAGGCAGGATTGACCATGGACACCATGAGGGCAAAGCCAAGCAAGCGCTGCACGAGGCAGTAGAGATGGACCAAGCAATCGGACTGGCAGGCGCCATGACCTCTTTGAATGACACTCTGACTGTGGTCACGGCTGACCATTCCCACGTCTTTACCTTCGGTGGATACACACCCCGGGGCAACTCTATCTTTGGTAGGTGGGCGGAAGATGCAGCCAGCCTGGTGCACAGGGAGAGCCGAGAGAGAGAGAGAGAGAGAGAGAGAGAGAGAGAGAGAGAG